GCTACTTTGCAGCCCAGGAGGCTGTCGTGGAATTCACTATATAGCCCAGCCTGGCCTCAAGTTCATGGAAACACTCCCACTTCAGTCTCTCAGATGCTGAAATTACAGACATGAGCTACCAAGCCTGGTTCAAAAAGCAACATTAAGAAAAAAAATCCTTTCTCTCCTTAAACATATTTGTTAATAGAAAACACACAAGGTGTGGAGAAGAACACGGACACGTGTGTTCTCAATCGTGAGAGCACTTCAATGTTTACTTACTTTTGTATTTTTCCTTCCTTAAAAAAAAATCCCAGACTCTCTTTAATTAAAGTTTAAAAAGCACCCAAACTGTCATGATCCTAAAATAGCACCATTTTGAAAGCGTCTCTTAGCTGTGGAAGAAGATTCCACCGACAATAAAAGGAACTCTAAATGATGAGTGGCACAGTCATTAGATCCTCCTCTGATGATTTCCTGACACATCTGCTGATTGTGTCTTTGACACCTAGGGAAGAAACCACGTCTTCCTCGGGAGACTTGATTTGCCGGCTCACAGCTCTGCGTCTGGCATCAGGGGAGAAACCAAATAACTTGAAAACTAATTAAAAAAGGAATGTTTAGAAGTGGCTTTATTCTGCTTGTGCTTCTCACAGAATCAAATTCTATGTTGTGAGAAGAGCCGCATCGAGCCTTGCTGGATAGCTGTGCGGCTTTCACTGGAACCGGTTCTGCTTCGATGGAGAAAGACCAGCTGAGGGCTGCCTGGAAAAATGCTGTGCGCTACCTACCAGAGACCAGGTAACTATTTCCTCAGCTACCAGAGAGAAGACAACAAGGAGGAGTCTCTTTGAGGAGCTGGGACCTTAGAAGTAGCAGAGTGAAGCCAGGCAGTGGTGGCATACACCTTTAATCCCAGCACTTGGGAGGCAGAGGCAGGCAGAGCTCTGTGAGTTTGAGGCCAGCCTAGGCTACCAAGTGAGTTCCAGGACAGCCAGGGCTGCACAGGGAAACTCTGTCTCAAAAACTAACCAACATTATCTGAGGCCCAGTTCTCTGCAGAAAAAGTTGAATCTCAAGACAAGATGTGCAAACTTTTTTTCAGGATTTTCTAAATTTAGAAGATGTTCTGTACAAAGGATCAGTCGTGGTTGGGCACTGTAGTGCCAAGTGTGATTTCCTCCCATCTCATGAGCCTGTGACCTCCTTAGTGTCAAGTCAAACAACCTTTGCCTTCTCCAGCCAAGCCACCGGCCACACACGGACTTTGTTAGAACAGATGAGAACATACCTTCCTTTGTATTGGTCACGATGTGTAATTCCAAGACCCTGGCAGGAGAGATGATAATTGGGTAGGAAACTTCTTTGAACTTCATATCAAGCCCTGAAAGAGAGAAGAATGATCATAACTGGGAATAAAACCATGCATGCTGGGCCTGGTGACGCATGCCTGTAATCCTGGAGGCTCAGGAGGCAGGGAACCCAGCGAGCCTCTGCACCAAAGTTTTAAAGGGTGAAGTCGGCTGAGGATATTGCTTAGTAGTAGAGCACTTGTCTAACCTGGTGATCCCTCGGGTACCTTCCCCAGTGTGAGGAGGAGGAAGAGGGAAAGGAGAGAAGGAAGAGGAGGAATAAGAGGAGGAAGAGGAAAAGAGGGAAGGAGAGGAGGAAGAGGAAGATAAAGAAGAGGAGGAGGGGGAGGAAAAGGAGAAAGAGGAAGAGAAGGAAGAGGAGGAGGGGAGGAGGAAGAAGAGGAAGAGGAGGGGAAGGAACACACCAGCTAGATTTCATTTAATTTCACTTGGTAAATAAAACTCTGACCTAGAACTCATTAAAATGAAATAAAAATCATGGCAAAGGAAGCCTGTTTCCCTTCTCAGTGGTTTCTCCTTTCTTGGGCTGAGACTGATCACCTATAGATTTCATCCTCTGAAACTCAGGAAGAGAAAGATCTGTTTTACTATTTGTTGGTGCCAGAAGAAACAAAACCTTAACATCTCCCTGTTCCCTGCAATCTAATCACACTCTGTAGCTGGAATGAGAGGCCGATGTGCCGCGTAGCAAGCCGGCCATCAGCTGGGTCAGAGAAGGAAGCCTGTCGCCAGATGAGAGTCTGCTTGATGACCCAGTGCCACAGCTCTCTCCTCCTGCAGCAGTTTGGGTCTCAACAGAGCAGGGGGAACTGCTTCTCTGCTACCCACCGAGAGAGGTGTTGCCCATCATGAGTGGAGCGCTGGGGTACTTCATTTTCAGGTCCAGGAGGTCTTTTAAGGTTCCCGGGGCAATCCAGGTAGTCCTCTCCCCACAAAAAGTCAGAGCTCTCTTTTGGGGATCCTCTGCCATCCTCTGCAGTATTTAAATTTAGACAATGATGATGTTAGTGACAGAGCACACATAGATGTCTTCACAGCTCGCAACTGAACAGGCAGGAACCGAGGATCACAAAACAAAGGCAGGTATTTTATGTCTAAATTCATAACTAAATTAATTCCTTTGAATATTTTTCTCATCTCTTACAGCTTAAAAAAATGAAGTAGACTTTAATGAAGTCTTAACATAAACAAACAAGACTCTTACATACACAATCTTATGTCAATTTCCCAACCAAAGAAATGACTGTAAACCAAACTATCGATGACGACAGACTGTCACCAGAGACTTAAGCACATATGGGCTGAGGGCTACATGACATTACCAGGCAGAGAAACATGATGAATGTACCGGGAGACAGGAGACGCAGGTTCTAATCCCAGCCTGGCTACTGAGTACCCAGATCAATTTAGGAAAACTCTGGATCCTCTCTCTCTATGTCTGGCTTGATGTGTGTGAAAACTAAGGATGATGTATGAATGTCATTGGGCTCTCAGTGGTCACTGAAATACGGGGTAAAGCTGTTTTGCTGAACAACAAAAAGCAACGCCCCCCAACCACAACAAACCAGTGAAAACAGAAAACATCCAGCTATTGAAGCCAGTGGGACCTTCCATTGATGTTTATGGCTTCCTAAGCAAGACGGAGAGCTTCAACGCTACCGGTGGGTTTTTCTCAGTTGTTAACAGCAGAATTTCCTTAGGTTTTCCTGCCATCAATTTCTCTAAAACAAATGGCTGTGATAGGTAGTAATACATTAACGTGAACGAGCGTGAGATAAATATTCATGAGGATAATTTCATGCTTAGTCAAGCAGACTTTTAATTTTGGTTTCCTTCCCTTCTCTCCTCTTGTGGACTTCCTGTGCCCTCTGTTTTGATTTGATACAGGAATCATTTAATATGCTCATATTTTCTGCCTAAAATAATTTCTACCCTACTAAGTCAAATCACATTTGGCATTATTTTACAGTGTGCAGGAAAGAAAGCACAAGTATGCTAACGACTCATATAGCTTTACCAAAGGAAAAAATACAACAAGGAGCCAATCAGAGACATAGCCTGGTCAAGGTGACATGGATTGTTACCGTGAAGAGGATGTGAACTCCAGAGCACCAGGCTCCTTGCCTGGTGCCCTCTGAAACCAAAGTTGTGGGCATTTAGAAGAAGCATGGTTTCAACAGTCTCTGCCAGTTAATATTAAACAAGGCAACCATTTCTCAAGCAGGAATCGAATTGCTTAATTTGATTCAAATGAACTTTGATGATATCCTGGCAAACAAATTTTATGAAAACATGCTTGCTCTTTGCCGGAGCATCCATGGGGAAGGTCTTTTGGTATAATTTCCATGTTTTAATGGGTCATCTCACTGAATCATTTTGTCGTACAGGAATCCTGGCAGAAGGCTGCTGGAAACAAGCTGTCACTAAAGGCGGACTGGTTAAGTGAAAACTTCTTTATCACTGTAAATGTTGCATTCAGCTAAGTGTCTACGTATTGAGTGGGGAAGGATGATGGACAGGAGAGTTCCTGGGCATGTGGGAAAACTCTGATTACTGAAATGTGTCATATGCTCTCAGGTGAAGCCAGCACTTCTCAAAGTAGAGTCCAATCACTTCTGGCAGTCCCCACAGAACACACTTTAGGGGTTCCAAAGTCAAAACTGTTTTATAGTGAAGAACAATGTATACGATTTGCTTTCTTCCTCCCATTGTCTGGGGAGTGTATGCCTGGGTGTAAAACTGCTCCGTGCTGTGTGTCCTCACACCTATCTGCAGCTGTATGCGAACCCAGCTGCTTTCTCTTAAGCCAGAGTTAGAGAGGTGTAGAACAATCTGGAAACAATGCCACTCTTGTTGCTGAATTTGGTTCCCAGCACCCACACAGCAGTGAACCATCCATAATTCCAGTTCCAGAATATCTGACGCCCTCTTCTGGCTTCCATGGGCATTGCACACATGTGGTGTGCAGATACTACATTTAAGCAAAACACCCAGACACATAAATAAATATTTTAAAACGTTTGCTCTGGCTACTTATAAAGAAATGAACTGAATAATTAAAATATTTCCACTTGAATTTCACACACTGCATCTGCCAATAGCTATAACCCACATAACAAAAATGTGCTGGGTTGTCACTCTTAAAGATGTATGTGGCACTGAAACCAAGCCAAACCAACCCGCCCCCCCAAAAAAAAAACCCCACAAAAAACAAAAAACAAAAAAACAAACAAACAAAAGGCCAAGAACTGTGTAGAGTGCCGGTACTCGGCCATTCTCTTGCACACAAGGCAGCAGAGACAAGCGCCCCATTGCAGGAGAATAAATATCCCCTGGGGGAAGGGAGGGGACACTGCCCACATCAGCAGGACTGTCCTCAGGAAGAGGCAGTTTGTCCTTTCCACATCCGGGGTGTCCAGCCTGGGGCCGGATACTTGGGGCTCTCCTAATAGAAGCTTGAGAAACAGAAAATAGAAAGGAGTCCACAGGATGCCTAGAGAAGTGATTGGACAATGTAAGGGAGGCAGCTCAGAGCCTTGTACCGGTGTGGAGACGATGGTTACTCAAGCAGGGGCCCGGATCTGCCCTTGCCTAGTCTTAGCCTGAATTTCCTATGGATCTTTATGGGTATTGGGTACCAGAATGCATTTGCCCTGGACATGGAGTATGAGAAAAGATCAGAGACAAGATGGAGCCTGTCCACAGGCAAAAATAAATTTAAAAAAAAAATGCGTTCGTGACTCTGGAGGGCCACACAATGCAAAGTCACCCAGAGGAGCAAATATGGGCGGAGACGCCGGTGGGGAGGAGCTGATGGTGGGACTGTTCATTCTCTCACGAGCACCATCAAGTAAGGCAGGGGGAGAACAAACCATTAGCTCAGGTGGGAATATCAGCTCCTGAGTTGGATCCAAAGGCTGAAATTCTTCTTTTTCATACAATTTGGGGTAAATCTGAAGAGGGAAAAAAAAGTTTTAGTCTTTGTGGCAAAGGTTGGTACATGGTTCTCGGCAGCCATGTAGTAACTATCGTTTGTTTGAAAAGCCTGGACTGGGGACTAGGACATAAGGACAGTGGCCAGAGGGCGGAGGAGGGCAGGGGAGGGCAGAGAAGGGCAGAGAAGGGGAGGGAAGGGGAAGGGAGGGCAGGGGCTTTCAGGTTGTGCCTTGCCCTAAGTTGACTCCATTGTGAGTGCAAGCACAGAGACAGGATGACACTGTATCTTGTGTGTGCAAGCAGACACCACCCCCTGCCCAGCAATAAACCAGGGGACATGGTGTGCCAGCTTATTCAGGCAAGACAAGATGCCCGCTGGGGAAGATTGGGAGCGTGTGACAAATTAAAACCACATCAGCAAAGCCAGGCCGGAGAATTCATCAAACACTCTAGACCAGCAAAGAGCATAACCCCTCACCTGGGTCACCTGAAATGAAGGCTCTGTCGTGGCCATTGAGGGCCTCCCTGACCTGGCCACCCCATGTGTGTGCAACAAGACACCCGACAGGCAGAGGGATCCTGATGGTCCCCTGAGTTCCAGCTCATTATCGTGCCCACTGCCTGACTGGCCCTCTCCTGGGGGCGCCAAATTTGGCACCAGTCCCTCTGCCTGGCCTCGGCTTGCCTTGAGCCCGGCTTGGCTCTGCCTCCAGATGCTCTCTCATGGGGTTCTTAATAACTCCCCTGCAACGGCTCTTTGCATCTGTATTAGCTGCGGTCTTCAATAAGCCAACTCCCCAAGTCTGTAGCCCCTCCTCCATTAACCCCTTTGTGGCTGTTCTATAACACACATAATCTTACTGCGCGTGCAGTGTGTGATTTGAGAGTTGACATGACTACTTGAGATCGGAATAAAAGTATCTGCTATTGCTAGGATCACGCCACCAAGAGAAAAGGGATTCCCTGTCAAGTCACAGCGGTCGGAGCTGACACCGTGCAGTGTGCCCTGATTTATATATCTTACCGGTATGGGAAACAACAAACGCAGCTTCAAGAAGTCCATCCCCATCTGCCCGCAGGCTACTGGCCACTGAGTCCCCAGTCTGGCCCTCTCTCACCAAGTCCCTCCCACAGGGTGCAAGGAGATCCCAGAGTTAGGGAACATTCCACCCGCAGCCAGAACCCCACTGCCTGCTAGCCATAGGCTTTTGGCACCATGACCTCAGGGTTCTTCCACCCAGAAGCCCCCAGTCCACTTCCCAGGACCCCTGTAGGCTTCTCCGCTCCACGCCCCTCCTCACTGAGAGATGCCTGAGCGGGGGCTGAGGGAAGAGACTGGGAGTGGGTGAGACTGGGACACACGAGCTGGGTGTTCGGTCTGTGATGCCAGCCGTGTGGGACAGCGCTGGGCACAGAGAGATGAGGACTGGGCTCGTCTCCTTAATGTTTCTGCTTTGGGCCTGCAGATACGGGTGACGGGCCTGACCCCCTGTCACTTCACGCAGGGATATTTGGTGGCTGTGGGCTAAAGAGCCTACGCTATTCTTACAAATGTCTTCCTCTCCTTTCTCTCTAGACTAGAAACCAAGTGAACTTGACTTTAGAGGAAGTGGTGTTTTTAATGTAACTACTATAATATCCACAGGAATCTCACTTTGTTTAAACATGTTTGTGTGTGTGCAATTATAATAAAATCATGTTGAACTGCTGAAAAGTCTACAGAAATAAAACAGCTTCGTAATAGCATGGTGTAGATGTAACCACTCCTGTCATTATGTCTATTTTTTCCATTCCTAATCTCACTTTGCATATATGTATTTATATTGCATATACTGGTAATAATTAACGGTGCCAAATTCTCAAATCTCAAATTGCTTCACTTTAGATAAGCCATTTTTATGTTTAAATTCTTTAAAGGTTACAGAAGAAGATTCCAGGTTAGTGTAAGTTCCAATTAAGCAGCTATGTCAAGACAGTCTTAAGTGATCCCCTGTTGCTAGACATTCAGGTTAGCACCAACCCTTATTACACATAACCCTGAGGTGCACATCTTTTTTCATAGTAAATATGTGACTTATTTTTAATTATTTTCCTGGAGTGGATTTCTGGCAATGAAATTGCTCAGTCAGAAAGTATAAAAGCAAAATCTAATGCCCTCGACTCACAAATTCCATTGCTTGCCACAACTGGCTGAAAGGGAGATTCTGGACCTCAGTCATTAGGAAAATCAGACATTTAATATACAACTGCTGTGTGGCGTTCAACCTGGGCCTTTATGAGCAAATGTGCTCTATTCCAAACTTCCTTCAGTGGTCACCCGGTTACACTGAAGAAGCCACTGAGCTGGCTTTGAGCCAGGTCCTGTCTTCCCAAAGCCAGCTTCCCACGCTGGGGCCATCTTTACTATTCACCACAGCCCTGTTCGGAAGACTCCTTTCTTTCGGGTGGACTCCTGCTGGCGGTGACCAGAGGCCAATGAACAGAAAGGGTGGAAAGGCCAGAAGTAAGACACTTGTTTAGGGAGCCTCTGCTCTTTCCCAGCACGCAAAACCCTGTAACTCGTGTGGGCAGGATGCACTGAGGGCAAATAGAAGAAGATGGAGGGACTCGAGGGAAGGAAAGGGAGACTCACACTGGTTTTCTTCGCCGGCTCATTTTCTTCTTCATCCAAGCAACATTTCCCGTTCCCATTCATCCGGCAGCAAGATGAACTCTGTAGAAGACAACATTAATGGTTAAATCAGAGAGTCATAGAGTTGTATGAATCCAGGGGTAAGAATGATTATGATGATGATGGGATGGGATGCTTGCAATGTGTGTCCCTCCAGAACGCATACTGAAACTTAAGAGCCATTGTGATCGTGTTAGAAGGAGTTTCCACTCAAGAATGGACTAATGCCACTACAGCCAGAGAAGATTTCTATTTAAAGGACAGTCTAGAACCCCTAGCAGCCAGCCACTGGAAAGACTTCTTACCTCTAGGAATCCTCAGACTGAAAGGGCCTAGCGCCTGTCTCCACCCCGCCTTATCACTTCCTCTCTCTGCTTCACCATATCACTTCCTGTTTCCTCCTCCCAAGTACTGGGATTAAAGATATGTGCCTCCCAAGTACAGGGATCAAAGGCATGAGATCCCAAGTGCTGGGATTAAAGGTGTGTGCCACCACCGCCTGGCCTCTAGTGGCTAGCTCTGCTCTCTGATCTCCAGGCAGCTTTATTTGTTAGAGCACAAACAAAATATCACATTTGGCTCTCTTTTACCCTCAAATCTCTTCCACGATTGCAGTGTCTTCTGCCAAGTTATAACACAGCAAGAGAGTCCTTGCTCCATGGAACCCCCTGATCTTGACTGTATGAGCTTCTAGAACTGTGACCAATGGATTTCTGGTCATTAGAATTGATCCAGTGTGTGGTATTCTGGTCCAGGAATATAAAATGGACTCAGACACAGAGGTGGTGGAAGTGGTAAACTGTGTAGGTTGTGGTCTAGGTTTGGTTGAGCTAACAGTCTGTGCTCC